TTTTTCAACAAGCGGGACTGACCTAGGGTGAATTTTAAATAGGGAATAATTTTTTAAAGATTTTAATAATGACACAGCCATAAATATATTTGGTTTTTAATTGGTTTTATAGGGGAAATGTTTTTTGTGTTGTTTTTTAACATGCTGTGAGCCGCCCTGAGTCCCGTGGGGAGAAGGGCGGCATAGAAGTTGGAAATAAATAAATAAAATAAATTCTATTCTATTCTATTCTACTTTCTATTCTATTCTATTCTATTCTATTCTACTTTCTATTCTACTTTCTATTCTATTCTACTTTCTATTCCATTCTATATTCTATTCTATTCTATTCTATTCTATTCTATTCTATTCTATTTTATTCTACTTTCTATTCCATTCCATTCCATTCTATATTCTATTCTATTCTATTCAAGTCCCACAGCCGTTCTTTGTATGTTTTGGTCTCCAGGCCTTTGATCATCTTAGTTGATCTTCTCTGAATTTTTTCCAAACTCTCAACATCTTTTTTGTGATATGGTGACCAAAACTGGCTGCAGTATTCCAGGTGTGGCCTCACTAGGGTTTTATAAAGCAGTACTAATACTTCGCGTGATCTTGATTCTATGCCTCTGTTTATGCAACCCAGGATTGTATTAGCTTTTTTTGGCTGCTGCTGCACACGGCTGGCTCAGGGTCAAGTGATCGTCCACCAGGACTCCAAGGTCTTGCTAATTGCTGATGATTTCATGCAAATGACCTTGTAGCTTTTTTGCTCATAATACCTAATAATGCTCAGCTAGTGCCTTCCTGGTCTAAGGTGCACTGTGGGATGTCCTGGTGGTCTCCCATCCAGGTATTAACCAGGTCCAGCCCTGGCTCATTTTTTCACTATTGGCCAAGGACTTTGCTGCACAGCCATAGGAAGAAAAACCCTCTCGCATCAATCTCCACTCCTGAAATGACCCTTCCCTGCCTTGAAACGTAGCAGGGATACTCCTGGTGGTCTCCCATCCGAATGCTAACCAGGCTCAAGCTTGCTTACCATGTTACTGAGAACAGGCAGGGTCCACTGATGGCTGCCCACCTGCCATGATTTATTCTGCCTCGCTACTTGCACCTTGCCTTTCCCCCTACAGATAGTCCTCGACTGACGGCCAGGGCTGAGCCCAAAATTTCTGTCGCTAAGCGAGACCGCTCTTAAGTGAATTTTGCCCCATTTTACGACCTTTCTTGCCACAGCTGCAGCTGTTAAGTTGGTAACATGGCTGTTAAGTGACTCTGGTTCCCCCTTGAATCTGCTTGTCAGAAGGTCGCAAAATGGGGATCGCGTGACAAGCCCCCCACCCCCCCGGGACACTGCGACCGTCATAAAGGCGAGTCAGTTGCCAAGCGCCCGAATTTTGATCACGTGACCAGGGGGTACGCTACAATGGGTCGTAAGCGGGGAAAAACGGTCCCGAGTCGCATGTGCCGTCGTAACTTTGAACGGCCACTAAACGGAGCGTTGTAAGTTGAGGACTGTCTGTAGATGGCCAGGCCACTTTGAGGTTTTGCGCAGCGGAGAAACCGATCCCAAAATCCATTTTTTTCACTCCTAAATTCGGCTGGCAGCGCATCCCCCATTCTCTGCCCCCCCATTTTGGGTTTTGGGGGGGGGGGGTTTGCCAGAATCCTTTTCTGACCAATCTGGAATTTAAATACAGCGATTGATGCTTTTCCATTTAAAGCTTATTTATTTGGGCCCGGGAAGACACAAGCGTGCGGCTCAGAAAGCCCCCAGCCTGATCCAGCCCCCTAGGGGGGGTCCCCGCAAACCCTCAGCCTTTGGAGAGCAGCGTGGAGAGAAAAGGGTTTTTTAAAAAAACAAATATGTAAATCAGATTTCCTTCCTCCAGCTCCAGATGATCCTGCTGGGGTGATCTTTGGGGAATGCTTTGGGGAGGGGGCTGGGGGCATTCGCCACCCCCCCTCCCTTTGCAGCTGTTGCAAACACACACACACACAAAAAAAAAACCCCACCCGGCCTCACCCAGACACGGTTTCGGCTTTCCTTCTTTTGATGGCAAGATGAGGTTTGGGAAAGGCGGGGAGAAGCGAACATCCTCCTGCTGCAGTTGCCACGGCAACTGCATCAGCAGCAATTAGGCTGTCCTGGTTTTTGGGAGAAGAGGAGGGGGGGGACACCGGGAAGGCTGAGGCTGAGGAGGGAGCTTGCAAGGAAGGGGGGGGCGTGCTGCAGCTGACGGACAGGGCCGCCCCCCCCCCCGGAAATGCTCCATGGCTTGCAATGG